GAGCTACTCATTACTGAGTCCTTTTTTTGACACTTTGATTTCTGTTTTGGGTTTTTTTAATTTTATTTTTAGCTATGGTCTTAAACATTTGATCAGCTGAAAAAAAATCATGTTTGAGTGTAAATGCAGTTTTCAGAAAATTCCCTGCTCAAAAGTTCTTGTCTCTTGCACTGATTTCTTCTTTTAACATTGTGAAGCTCTACTTAGAACCTTCTTAAGATCCAATAGTGCAAAATGCAAATTCTTGCACTTTTTTGACTGGTCTTAAGATTTTGATCAGGAGTGTATATTCATGTATGTGTAAATTTATTACCATAATTGCAGGTGAGTCACGTAAACTTATGTTTTTATGAAACAAGTAGCCCCCCCGCCAAGACTAATTTCCTAGGGGAAACACTGCTCAGGTCTACATTCAATTATCTTTACCAGTTGTAAATTACCTTTAATGGGTGGTTTGTTACAGTAGGTCTTTACTACTCATTTATTTATGCATATAAAAACTGCGTAAAATTGTGTCTTGCTCTGTTTAGAAAAAAAAAAGCTATATGATAAAACGCGGGCCCAGCTCGGTTCTGCATTAGCTGTGGTTTTATGTTGTTACAGACCTAACTGGAAAACGAAATCCATCCCAGTTCATTTCACAGCAGCTATTTAAATAAAGTTTGCTAATCTGTTTACTAACATTCTGCTAAAACGCCTTACTTGCAGCTAAACTCAAGTCCTGCTGGGAAGCCAGCCTCATGAACATTTTATTGAACACAAATCTTCAAAATATTAATTTATTTAAACTCAATACATGTGGGAACATAACGCTAATCTATCTCCCWAAAAGTTATCATTTTAGGTCACCTAAATATTGTCCGAAAACAGAGAATATACGACTCACCGTGCTTAAAGGCACGCCACGGTTTGTTTGATCCGCCATCTTTGAGTTAAAAAAAAACAACAACTGTGGGCGGAGTTAAGTGCAACGAACCTCTTCTCCCGCGATATTTTTTTTCTCTTAAAACGACAAATAAAATAAATATGTTCGGTTTAAAAGTATTTAGTTGTTTAACTAGTAAATTTACGTGTGTTCCTACGATTGTGAATGCATACTACTTAAAATCAAGGATGTATTAAAAGTTCAACAATCGTTTCCGGGTTTACAGTTCGCAAAAATAAAAGCCCGGCAATTATTTACAAATGGGGTGCATGAAAGTAGTTCCGCACATCATGCTCAACTTATTACATTATCACGTCCTTCGTCCTTGACTACAGAATAGAATTTTTTTTTATTTTTATTTATTTTTTCATTTAATGCTAAGGAGCCCGCGAGGGGACACAGGAGAGTTTCAAAAAGACACAACTTATTCGGGAGATGCAGCAAGTATTCAGTCTTTATTTTGTGTAGTGGCTAAAAACTATGATAAAAATGTTTTAAATGAAGATGTTGTTTCAGCCCCTTACATTGTGGACATATATATAT